GCAAATGTACTTGGAGTGGATATGGAGTACTTCGTAGAGGTACGCTGACCTGGAATTTTGACTGTGGTGGGGATTATTATTATATCATACCCAGATCCGGTTTCAGATATCTGAATAGTAAGATGTCATACCTAACTCATAACTCATAAGATCCCCTGGTTCAACAGTATTCCTGTCTTCTGTCGGGAATCCCCCAATAGACAAGAAATCGAGGTAGCGTCAAGTAATAAGTCTAAACGGGAAGATACGGACCAACTTCCAATATTTCAAATCTCTCGACTCGATGATGAGTATCAGCTATCTACCCGTGAAGTCGAATCAAACCGCCAAGGAAAGAGTTATTGATAATGGAATATCAGTATCAGCTCCTAAGGATTCCTTATTGACACGAGAAAGAGCCGCGAATAGTAGTGCTCCCTGTTCATTCCGGTCTCAATTCCAAAATAAGGCAGGTCTGGCTTCCCTTCAGCCTCTAAATTTTTAATGCCTTAACTCAATCAATGGTGATTTGACGATAAGTAAAGAAGATTGAAGGCTCTGTCTCTGTAGGCCGCCGTGCCGTGCCCTACGGCCCACCATACCTATGAAAAAAAGAAGTTAGGTACGGAATATCCCACTACCAACGTGGTACTTCAGTGCTTCATAGGTCGTACAGAGTGCTGAGTAGAATGAGTCTAGATAGTCCAGACCAGAGACCTTACAATAATCGTAACTAACATGTCCCTAGCCGGGAAAACACCAACAGCCTTATCTTAATGGCCTCGGTCATGTGTGCGTGAGGGCTTAAAGGGTTCCTGATTATTTTTCCGCCAATCAATTGGACCACAGAAGCCATGCATTCATACTTCGATTATCTGAGGTCTATCAAGAGTACAGAGTACTCTCTACCCTATCACAAGTCACAACCAACATCTCACATGGTTCCTGAAGATTGCCATCGTGATATTCAGTTTTTTGGCTCCGCAAAGTGCATCTACTAGCATGTCACCTTCCCTAGCATCCTACGGGTGCTTGTTCTTGGACGTGTAGTTTTTCTATTTGCATGCGTTTGTGCTCTCAATTCGAGGAACACCGGCGTTCAAACGAGCATGGCGACGTTCTCAACATTCTGACATATGTCGATGGGCTTGATTCGGGGAAGTGGACTTACGAGCTCCTGGAGGCTCGGAATTATGTAGAGGGGTCGCGTGGGTTATTGATTTTGATTCGTTGCCTACCAACGGTTTTGAAAATATGGCGGAATTGTTCCGAGGGCGGAATTCCTCGGCAACACCAGCCATCCCCCACACGCAACGAATGAAGCCCTGCAGTCATTATTGAACTTGGGCATGCTACACTCGGCTTCTGTCTGGCTAGCAATGCGGGGTGAGAATCGACATGCGCTGACTGTCACATACATTAGAGGGAGCGGAAATGTTCCTCTCTCACGAAGGGGTATGAGGGACCAAACAGTTCAGTTGCAGGAGTCTGAGACGTCTGCCCTATATTACATCCGGGGTGAGACGGACATTCTCCTCTATTAACTTCCAACCATGGTCAAGTGAGTTTCTGTTGGACTTTATTTCATCATGGCAATAGCAGCAGCAGTGTCCTCATTGCAGCAAAACGTCCTTCGATACCCTCTCCAGTTTCTGGCCGTAACAGCACTGGTTGTACCGATAATTTATATCATCATAAATGAGTTTATTCGCGCATCTGCTCGCGTACCAGGATTGAACGGTCCCCGCGGTCTCCCTTTAATCGGAAACCTGGCACAAATTCGCAAAAACGCGGCTGAACAGTACCGTATATGGTCAAAGACCTACGGGCCCGTCTACCAAATTCAACTGGGTAATATACCCGTCATAGTCGTCAACTCGGCTGCCGCAGCAAAGATACTTTTTGGTCAAAATGCGCAAGCCCTCAGCTCAAGACCCGAGTTCTATACTTTTCACAGAGTAAGTGAAAGATCATATCCTGCCTTCCCTAACTTGGTCTCTTCGAGAGCCTAGAGTAACGTCTCGAATAGATTGTTTCGAACACCGCTGGAACAACAATCGGAACTTCTCCCTATAGTGAGTCTCTGAAAAGGAGAAGAAAGGGCGCTGCATCGGCTCTCAACCGGCCGTCGGTCGAGTCTTACGTGTCACACTTGGATGTGGAGACAAAGGCGTTTGTGGCAGAGCTTCTTAAATATGGAAATGGCGGAAAGACACCTGTGGATCCTATGGCAATGATCCAGCGTCTCAGTCTGAGTTTATCCTTGACGCTTAATTGGGGAGTGCGAGTGGCATCACAAGAGGAAGATCTGTTCGATGAGATTACGCATGTGGAGGAGGAGATCAGCAAGTTTAGGAGCACCACGGGCAATTTGCAGGACTACATTCCCCTCTTGCGGCTGAACCCCTTCAGCACCAACTCGAGGAAAGCAAAAGAGATGAGAGACCGGCGTGACAGATATCTTAATGCGCTTAACCGGGATCTGGATGACCGGATGGAAAAAGGCATTCACAAGCCTTGCATTCAAGCCAACGTTATCCTCGACAAGGAAGCAAAATTAAATAAAGAAGAACTCATCTCTATCAGCTTGACTATGCTCTCCGGAGGCCTCGACACTATTACCACACTCGTGGCTTGGAGTTTTTGTCTACTGTCTCGTCGCCCTGATATCCAGAAGAAGGCGGCACAAGCGATCGAAGACACGTTCAGCCAGGATGAGCCCTTGTGCGATGCTCAAGATGACCAGAAGTGCGCATACGTCGCTGCACTTGTGAGGGAATGCCTGAGGTCCGAGATCCCATTCTTTAACTGAACCTTCGGTTTTCTCGTTCGGCCTGAAAATTCTGACTGAGATTTCACAGATATTATACCGTCCTCCGTCTTGCGCTTCCGCGGACCTCTATCAAAGACATCACTTACGACAACAAGGTCATTCCGAAGGGCACAGTCTTCTTTCTGAATTCTTGGGCTTGTAATATGGGTAGGAGCTCACTCATTATTGATTTTTTCCGCCTTGGCTGTTCACGCTGACGAGTACGCACTAGACCCCGAAGTTTGGAGCGATCCCGAGGAATTTAGACCGGAGAGATGGTTTGAACAACCAGATGCACCCATGCTGACCTATGGCATCGGCTATCGCATGTGCGCCGGCTCACTACTCGCTAACCGTGAATTGTACTTGGTCTTCATGCGCACTCTGAACAGTTTCTATATCGAACCACATGACGACGTTGACTGGCACCCCATCAATGGGAACTCGGACCCCACAAGTCTGGTCGCGATTCCCAAGAAGTACAAGGTCCGCTTTGTTCCAAAAAATGAGCAAGCCCTTACACAAGCCTTGGCTTAACGGCACCAGCCGGCGTTGTTATATTTCCTTGCGAGTCTAGACTCCTTTGGCCAACGAAAAACAGTGGCTCTGAATGTACAAGCATATAGGGACATGTTCAGCTACTCCCTGCGATTAAGTCATTCTTCTAAATATAGGAACAGAGACTGGGAAGTGATATCACTAACATGATTCGTCCCCGATGTTGTCTGGCTATACGCCCTTTATTTTCTTTGCACCAGACTTTTTCTACATCGGTTAAGCTCTATATGATTATACTGACTATAGCATGTACGCAAGTTTTGAAGTGCTGAGATGTGCATGGGGGTAGCAATTATAATTTATATATCATCTCGTCGTCACCTCTCTTGCAGAAGTTGATGAAGAGATTGTCTAGGAGGATCGAGCAAATGGCAACTAGCCACATATGCTGCATGCATGAAGAGGCGTATCTCAGCTAAACATGCCAGTCTTAATGATGAAGAAATGGACCGCTCAACTCATGGTCGTATCAAATCCGTTCTGGATGTCGCCTCGTCGCAGCAATATAAACCGAGATTGAGCTGAAGGTAGCGTTGAGGACAACCTTTGAACCGGTATCATGTACGATGCATTCTGTGGAGTATGTATTTAAAATTGCAATACAAACCTTCACTTAAGAACCAAGAGGGGAACTCGAAGGCCATGCAGAGAGATCAACGGTATGGGGATTGACTGGTTGGCCCTGCTAACCAAGTAGAAATATCGTCAAGCTGGTGATTTGAGGAATGCACTCTATATGATATTGTAAATGGCAAAATGTCTAGGACGCCGCCCCGCTGCAACCAAAACTAGCATGGTGGTTAGGTAGACGTGTGACGAGATCTGAAATAATCACTTACCAGAGCTGATGTTTGATGGGATGTATTACTAAATAAACTATAATGGGAAAGAAACGGTGCTGATATCAAGGAGAATACCTACATATGACAGACACTCGATGAAGGCTCTTGAATCTTCCAAGTGCCATCTACTTATAACAGATTAGGCGGTTAATCAATGTGCATTGTGTGTTCAAAGTGAGTTATTTGCCTTTTAGAGAATTTTCAAGGAAAAGCCCCCGTCTGCGAGCCAGGCATAGCCCCACTGCCAGTACTTGACATTTGCAGATATCACCATTTATAGACGGTGATACGGCGAATCTGCCATCGGGTTAAAAGGCGTAATGGACTTTGACCATAGACAGCCTATCATAGGGGCAAACAGCATCAGGCTTGACCTCAGTCATACATATTCTCATGACTCTACCTAGCTATGGGCGAACCGGCAGACATTACCTGCAAGCGCTTTCCGGGGTCCATCTGGCTTAGAACCTCAGTCGCACTGAGGATGCGTCATGCAAAACACGAAAAAGTCAGCTTGCCGCCCTTAGGAGCTTAATGCACCAGGAATATGCCAGAGACCAAATAGTAGTCTGGCGCTGATTTAAATGAGATTAAACCCCTGTGAACCACCCAAGTCCATCAAACATGATACTTCTGAAACCCCTGGCATTCGCCAGACTCCTTTTTGGACGCATCAAGCTCCAAGATCGATGGTGGTATTGCCAATGACAGGAACATCATCAATATTCGGAATGCCTCATCCACATGTTAGGAGAAACAAACATTAACTCTCCAGGAATACGGTCATGTGGGAGAGATAATTGCATGTCTCAGTCCTGCGGCCTTTCTCGTTCTTCCACAGGAATTCGCACAAGGGTTGCCGGCAGACGGCGCTCAACCATTAAGTTATGGTCAGTCTCAACGTTTGAGGTTTGATCTTTTGTGCTTATGGAAACTGCAGCTTTTGCTATGTTGGCATGCAACATCAGTGATTTTTACTGGAACAAGTTCATAGGAAAACAACAATGAGCGCCGCAAGACACCAAAACATGCTGGACTTACTTGAAGCCATACTGATAGCCCGTATAACGTTGTCCCAATTTGCAAGTACGCAGGCCGCAGCTGAAAGTCAGAAATTTGGTCAAGTCAGTGATTGTATGCAATCTCATCCGACTTTTTCTCTTTCGTTCAGTGATCGTGCAAAAATTTGCAACGTCATATTGTGCAAGAACCGTGAGGAATGCAAAAAGAGGAACAATGAGGCAGCGAACCTTCTGTACCATCTTTTAATGTACCTATCTTCGTCTCTAAGACTTGCATTTGCATCGCCATGACGCCACTTAGATCACGCAGCCGCATTAAATTCTCGAGCTCGGCTTTCTTGGAGACAATGCGAGACGATAGAGCTAAAGACTGCTGGTGTGAGATGGCATTATGATTGCTCTGTTGACGAATTGACGATGATGTTGATGTGCTGGCCAAAACTGCGGAAGTAGGATGCGACGATGAATACGCCATGACACCTGTGAGATCTGTGCAGTTTGTGGTTTGTACAAGCCACGTGTGTCAATTGCCCAAAGAGGAAGAAAAGAGAGAAAGAAAAGAAGAAGAGATACTGACTAAACGCTCTGATTATTAGAATCAGTTGATGAACTAAGAGAGCAAGCAACAACGCCCATACGAATGTGTAAGATAAGCCTAGGTAGTTTTGCTTGTGCCTTCCCTAGTCCCCACTTTACTAGGCTCAATTTGGACAAACATCAACAACGGGACTTCGCCCACACTACCACCAACCATGAACCACAATCTTGTTTACATTTCGCATCCGCTCCGTGGTAGAGCGTAGACTACATACTATGCCCATTGCGCCCCCGGGCCTGACAGAGTTATAAACAAATCCAGATTTAATTATCTGGCTTTATCTACATCCTTTCGGCTATTCTTCTCATCTCCACAGGATTAAGTCTCCAAAACAGGAGACATTCCACTTGGCATGAACTTTCAGAAACATGGCTCGATTGAATGAATCTACGGCTCCGACAGAGCCCATTGATATCTGTAAGCTGCTCTCACTGTCCTATCCCTATTATCCAGTTTCCTCTCGCCACTGCCCCGTCCTTGTCCCTCCCTGATTCCTTGTGTACATCACGGTAGGTCTCTTGGGTTCCTTATTGATTACTTGTGTGTCAAATTTAGTGAAGCGACGATTTGTGCGGCAGAACCGCGAGATTGCCCGTGTCAATTCAATACAATCCCTTCGCATTCGCACCCTTGAATCTGATGTTTCCAATTTGCTCGCGGAGAATGTTTCCCTACGGGAGCAGGTCATAATGCTGAGTCAAGAGTTGGAGAGGTTTGAATCGGTCAAATCGCTCCATGACGGTGTCTATGATATCAAAACGAGATTAGACGACAAGTTAGCAGAGTTAGGCAATATCGTGAACGAGTTGGGCACCTTACCACGCAGGTTGGGCAAGTCCTGTGATGAAAGATTGGGCGCCGGAGGTCTCGGGCAACTCAAACTATCAAGCTCCGAATCCACATACAGAAAACCTGACCCTGAGAGCAACTTGATTTGTAAGGAACAGGGAGGTCTGCCGGTAATTCTCGAAGACAAATGCTACCCGCGAGAAACCCTTGAGTAAGTACTGCTCGAAAATCTTATTACATATAGTTGTCTTGTGCTTAGCAACATCAGGTCGCAGGAGATACGACACCTGATCGATTCTGGTCGTGAGATCTGTACGGCTCCAGACCCGGCGGAGGCACCATCGCCACTATCGACAATCAAGCGTCGAGAGTCTACCCCACAAGCTTCTGAGAAAGAGCTTGAAAATATCGAAATACTTGGCGTTGATGAGAGGTTGGACGACAAAACGTTACTTTCGACTTTAATGACGAGGAAGAGACAAAAGCCAGACCCTTCCGCCTCGAAGGATATCTCACCAACACCAGGCCGGTCCTCAATCACTGAGCTGGATGAGACAATATCTCCAAGGAGGGCTGGGCAAAAGAGGAAATTTGGTGCAGATCGTGAAGACGAATACCTCTTGACCAGTATAGGCGATGATGATTTCCAATACAGTCGGCCGCGCCATTCTTCGCTCGGGAGAGAGGAAGGACGTGTGTCTACCCGTAGGAGGAATCCACTACTGCGAGAGGACGCGCAGCCGAAGCGGGATTCTGGTACTCACAAAGCAACTCAACGCAAAGCTCTAGAACCAAGTATGGAAACTCCCTTATGGTTGAAAAGCAGCATGAACGGCTCGTTAACTCTATGAATCACAGAGAATGGCAATCTTAGTATCACCCCCCCAGACGATCACACCCCTACTACAGCCCATGATGGCATGCGCGAGAAATCGCAAAGACAGCAAGGGCCTCTCAATCCAGTAGAGCCCGGAGAAGAATCAATATGCCAGCAACAGGGTACCTTTGTTGGGAATTTCTCCAGCCAATGTTCAAATGAGAATGAGCGAAAAGAAACCAATGCTCACGATATAGTCGTGCTTCCAAACAAGGAGGCACAGAAATCAGAATCATTGTCCCCTGCAAAAACTGTATCTATATTTCAAGTTGGCTCTGGAACGACTTCATTATTAAACGCCCCTCCGTCACGTCCGTCAAGACGTCAAAGATCTGTCGTGAGCTATGCGGAACCGAACCTGAGAGACAAAATGCGGCGACCCACAAACGAATTTGTTCCCGCTGTTGGGGGGGAGAGGCTGGGCAAGAAATCGAACACAGCTGCGCTTCCAGTGTCTACAGATGAGGGAGACGTGGGGTTACAGACCGATATCAGCCGAGCAAAGAAACCGGAGAGCTCGCCAGGGACGACGCGGGACCACATATCAATATTGGAGAAGGCTTCGGGTCACACAACACGTTCTCCCGTAAACATGGTTTCTCTCAGAAAAAAGAAGAACATCCCGCCGAAGATTGCGACCGCTGACGAAGAGGATCATGATACTCTACAAAACGAGCTGTCATCGGGCGCTAGTGAGAGACTCAACTACTCTGTTGAAAACGTCAAGCCCAGAGGGTGCGAGGACCAGAATACGCTCCGCATTTCAAATGCCGGGAGAAATAATGAGCTGCACTCAGAATCTACCGATGATACTGACTCCTCGCAAAGTCATGTTGTTGCAGAAGAATCAGTGCCAACTTCTGGTAGACGCAAACAGCCCCGACGCCACTCTTCACACTTTAAAACATCCACCCAGCATACCCAAGGCGAATTAAGGATGGACCTGCATTCGACTCGGAAGTTGTCGACATGGGGTGCTCCTTCTGAGGTGCCGAGGCCAACGATGCCGGCCGAGAACGCTGACACCGATAGCGCACTACTGGATGAAGAAACGAGATCAAATTCAAACGCAATGGTGGGAGGACGGTTGAAACGTGGGCATCGGGCGGTCGCACGAAGAAAAAGTATGATGCTATGAATCAGCTATTTCATGGGCCGGCACGAATCTTGCCAATATAACGTCCGACGAACACTGATTTTGCGGCGATTGATTCTAGCTCATTCTAGATTCCACCGACAGGACCTATGGCAGACACCACAAGAATTTCATGTTCATAGTTCGTAATCTTGCTCCATTTCTTTCTGTCTTCGTTTTCTTTCCACTGACGGTGAGAATTTGAAACGGAGTCAATCCAGACAAAGGTCTGCACTTTGTAGCCCACTTGCCTGTCCTCCCGGAGTGACTTTTTCGGGTCGATGGTGTCAACTGTTATTGCATAACACAACGTCCAGCGCGACGACAATAACTTATATGTCGCGGTATTTGCAGACGAGGAGTGAAGTTGATGCATGGGCTACAGCCCCGTGATTCTGGGTTGGCCCTTTACTTTTGGCATTTTTTCGTATGCATTCGGACTTGGCTTCCTCTTCCCATTTCTCCTCGCATGGCGTTTGTTGCAGGAGGAAGTGCGTCCTCGATTCAATGACGGGTTTGACGAAGATTGACTCGCATCTTGTGCATTTTGTTTGTGGTTCTGCGCGCGGCCTATCGAATCGCGGCAATCTACATCGTTGTCACTTTCCGACTCGGAGGAACTCGATGTCGAATCATCAGACTCCGAACTGCTTTCCCCTACAGGCCGAGGTTTGTGGTAGATGCAACATACTGTATGGGTTAAAGCCGGCCCGACATCATCGTAATTAGCGTCCAATCTGAATCGCATGGAAGACGATGCAAGTGATGGCGAAAACAGACTTGGAAATAAACAGGAAAGAGTAGAAGGAGAGACAGGGAAAGTAAGCAGATGGTGCTGACGGCTTCTATATACCAAATTCGCTTACCTTTTGAGCTCTTTTTACCCATTCCCTCGTTGTCTACGACATCTTCAGTCCATCTTATATGTCGTCCTGGTGTTGGGTCCTCAATCTGGTCTGTGGCGATACTGTCATTCTCGGCTCTCAATCTCAGTGTGCCTGAAATACGGACACAAGAATGGTTTTCTTGTCGGACGGCTGGGGATAGCAACTGAATATGAGAGCTGGATGCTGTATTTGAGGGTACCTGTCTAGTGCGTGACATTATTCATATATATCGGTCAAACCTCTTATTTGAGTAGTGGGGTTGAAGTGAGGGGTGTGCAATGATAATTATACCTCTCTACTCTGTCCTGTGGGGCTAATCCCTCACCGCTTTTATCCTAATGCAACTGATTTACTAAGGTAGCTGTGACTAAGGCTCTCTGTCACGGCTACTATATTCTACAGATGTTTTCCCTTCCTGTATTCATATTAATATGTAGCTACCTCTCTACATGATTGATTTGATTCAGAGTACATCACAGTTGCACTCGGATCTACTGCAGTGCTTGTGTCGTATGAAGCACAATGATCGCCAATCTAACAGAAGAGTAAGCTCAGGATACGAAAAGTTCCACTTTATGCTCAGGTTACCAGAAGCATTCCAATCGGCCGGCCCCTTCCCCAACTATCCTCATCGGTTTAGGTAGTGTAGGTTGAACAAGGAGATACACCTGGCCTAGTCAAATCAGTAGAAGCACTACGCCCTCAACTGGCGACTTGTTCTCACTAAAGCACAGTCCATAGATGAGCGTCGGGGAAGAAGAGCGAAATTACAAAAAGACACGTCAGTGTGCGGAGAGACCCAAAACCACGTCCATATCGGATTCAAGTAAAGGGTAGTCAAGATAGCAAAGGGAGCAGGCCCTGTCTGTCACGTAGCACGCCGAAACATGCAGTAGAACGAGCAGTATTCATAGCTTCAAAGCCCGTAAAGGGACCAACCGTTGAGACCGTCTTCTGGAGGCACCAACTCCTCTAAGTCTTTTGTAGCTCTATCTAATGAGCTCACTGGTAATTCAGTGCGGAGTTCCTAGTCGAGTCAGAGCTCATCCTCCTGATCCATTTCAGACGGCTTCAAAAGTCCTCCAACTCTCATTGCCCGGTCTCGTTCTGCTGCCTGCGCATCCCGCAAAGCCTGCTCTCTTTCCTCTGCATAAAGTTCTGCATTATCCCCTGCGAACTCTTTCAAAGA